ACGCATTGGGTAATTATAAGCACTTCTGACTTGGAGTCATTCAACTGCAGAAAATTTTTCGACATTCAATTTTTGATTTCGTATAATATGGGATGTATCAATAATACCAGGCTTTACCGGGACATACAATTGCGTACCATCTGCATAGCAGTGTAACTCAATGTCATAACTGCGCATAATTTGACCCAGGGGTAACATGTAGATAGTAAACAGAAGGGGACCCAAAATAGATCCCTGAGGGACCCCACAAAATAAAGGAGCACGAGAAGAGGAGGCATCTCCAAGCACTACGGAAAAAGACCTATTCAACAAATAAGAAATAAACCAATCCAGAGCTACATCTCTGATACAAACATAAATTTTTAAACGGTTGATCAAGACATTATGGTCCACTGTGTCAAAGGCTGAGCTAAGATCAAGAAGGATTTAAGCAGAGTACAAGCCAGCATCAGCTGCAAGCAGCAGGTCATTAGCAACCTTAACCAGAGCAGTTTCAGTGCTATGTTGGGAGCGGAAACTCGACTGAAATTTTTCAAAGATCAAATTATTATCCATATATGAAATCAGTTGCACTGACACAACTTTTTCCAAGATCTTTGATAGAAATGGAAGCTTAGAAATAGGTCTAAAATTACTTAAAATGGAGGGGTCTAGAGAAGCCTTCTTTAATAATGGATAAATAGTGGCATGTTTAAAACATGTGGGGAAAATGCCAGAAGACAAAGAACAGTTAATAATAGCTCAAATATCTGGACCAACCGTGTGAAATACAGCTTTTAAAAACCAAGTAGAAAGGCAGTCAGAAGAACAGGAGGAGGATTTTGAAAGTACAACAATGTGTTCCAAGGTAGACAGAGATTTCATTAAAATGAGTAAATATTGAAGGTGGACACAAATCAACATCATGATCTCTGAAATCAGTATTAAACTGCTGTCTAATCTCCACTATTTTATTATAAATATAATTTAAAAAGGCATCGCAATTCTCTGGAGTAGATTCAACTGGCTGGCTAGGCAAAGGACCTATAATCAAGTCGAGATTTTGGAACCATTAATAGGGCCCTACCGAAGGATGTCAAGCAGCGATCAGGCTCATAAGGAAATAATAAATCACAAATATAGGCAGGAGCCTGACCCTTCAAGGCCTTAAAAACAAGCAACAAAATCTTAAAATCAATTCTAAAACTCATAGGCAACCAGTGAAGAGCAGCAAGAATCGGTGTAATGTGTTCACTTTTCTTAGTACGTGTTAAAAGCCTTAACAGCAGTATTTTGAATCAGCTGCAATCTTTGGAGATTTCTCTTGCTAATACCAGAATAAAGTGCATTACAATAATCAAGTCTGGAAGAAATAAAAGCATGAATGACCTTTTCCAGATCTGCCAAAGAAAATAATTACTTTATCTTCGTTAGTTGCCTTAGTTGTGCAAAACAAGACTGCACCACTTTAGTCACCTGAACATCAAAGGACAGTTCTGAGTCAAAAACTACACCTAAGTTGCGAGCCCCTTTTTGAACATTATTAGATAAGGCACCCAGACTAGAGGAGAGATTAGTAATACTAGGACTACTGAGGACGCATTGGGTAATTATAAGCACTTCTGACTTGGAGTCATTCAACTGCAGAAAATTTTTCGACATTCAATTTTTGATTTCGTATAATATGGGATGTATCAATAATACCAGGCTTTACCGGGACATACAATTGCGTACCATCTGCATAGCAGTGTAACTCAATGTCATAACTGCGCATAATTTGACCCAGGGGTAACATGTAGATAGTAAACAGAAGGGGACCCAAAATAGATCCCTGAGGGACCCCACAAAATAAAGGAGCACGAGAAGAGGAGGCATCTCCAAGCACTACGGAAAAAGACCTATTCAACAAATAAGAAATAAACCAATCCAGAGCTACATCTCTGATACAAACATAAATTTTTAAACGGTTGATCAAGACATTATGGTCCACTGTGTCAAAGGCTGAGCTAAGATCAAGAAGGATTTAAGCAGAGTACAAGCCAGCATCAGCTGCAAGCAGCAGGTCATTAGCAACCTTAACCAGAGCAGTTTCAGTGCTATGTTGGGAGCGGAAACTCGACTGAAATTTTTCAAAGATTAAATTATTATCCATATATGAAATCAGTTGCACTGACACAACTTTTTCCAAGATCTTTGATAGAAATGGAAGCTTAGAAATAGGTCTAAAATTACTTAAAATGGAGGGGTCTAGAGAAGCCTTCTTTAATAATGGATAAATAGTGGCATGTTTAAAACATGTGGGGAAAATGCCAGAAGACAAAGAACAGTTAATAATAGCTCAAATATCTGGACCAACCGTGTGAAATACAGCTTTTAAAAACCAAGTAGAAAGGCAGTCAGAAGAACAGGAGGAGGATTTTGAAAGTACAACAATGTGTTCCAAGGTAGACAGAGATTTCATTAAAATGAGTAAATATTGAAGGTGGACACAAATCAACATCATGATCTCTGAAATCAGTATTAAACTGCTGTCTAATCTCCACTATTTTATTATAAATATAATTTAAAAAGGCATCGCAATTCTCTGGAGTAGATTCAACTGGCTGGCTAGGCAAAGGACCTATAATAGAATTAATAGTTTTTAAAAGTATTCTTGGATTATGTCACTGTTTAGTAATCAGGTCAGAAAAATATATGTTCTTGTTTCCTTAACTTTACACTGATAAGTGGACATCAGATTTTTTAAGAGGCAAGGGAGACCTCGTTTATCCTTTTTCCACTTCCGTTCTGCCTTCATGCATAGTTTCTTTAAGTTTCTTCATTCTTAATTTAGCCATGGTAAAGAAGATTTCAGCTTTCTTACTCTAATTGGAGCTACAAAATATAAAATATCTCTACAAGAGCTGTTAAAAACACTAACTAACTCCTCTACGGAGAAGTCAGATTGTTGGCTAGTGTTAAAAGGAGAATTAGAGGCAGTGAAAATTTGTTGCATATGTAAGGAGATAAATTACTGAGAAAAGCAATTCGAGACAAGTAAACTGACAGTAATCATCCACAGTGTCTTTTGGTGGATTGTGGAATTTGAGCATGCAGATGTTTTTCAAGACAGACACGACAGAGGCCTTAGTGGTGGGGTGTAGCATCCTTTATTTCAAATACCTTTACAATAGCCCTGAGGCTGGTCTCAAATACATTTTGGACACAAGAAACCTATTGGTAAATTCTTGAAGAACAATTTTGAAGAAGCCTGCATTTGAATAACTAAAGGAGCTAGTGTAGTGTTGGCATTGGTAGCACCAAATTTATATGATAGTAAACAGAAGGGGACCCAAAATAGATCCCTGAGGGACCCCACAAAATAAAGGAGCACGAGAAGAGGAGGCATCTCCAAGCACTACGGAAAAAGACCTATTCAACAAATAAGAAATAAACCAATCCAGAGCTACATCTCTGATACAAACATAAATTTTTAAACGGTTGATCAAGACATTATGGTCCACTGTGTCAAAGGCTGAGCTAAGATCAAGAAGGATTTAAGCAGAGTACAAGCCAGCATCAGCTGCAAGCAGCAGGTCATTAGCAACCTTAACCAGAGCAGTTTCAGTGCTATGTTGGGAGCGGAAACTCGACTGAAATTTTTCAAAGATTAAATTATTATCCATATATGAAATCAGTTGCACTGACACAACTTTTTCCAAGATCTTTGATAGAAATGGAAGCTTAGAAATAGGTCTAAAATTACTTAAAATGGAGGGGTCTAGAGAAGCCTTCTTTAATAATGGATAAATAGTGGCATGTTTAAAACATGTGGGGAAAATGCCAGAAGACAAAGAACAGTTAATAATAGCTCAAATATCTGGACCAACCGTGTGAAATACAGCTTTTAAAAACCAAGTAGAAAGGCAGTCAGAAGAACAGGAGGAGGATTTTGAAAGTACAACAATGTGTTCCAAGGTAGACAGAGATTTCATTAAAATGAGTAAATATTGAAGGTGGACACAAATCAACATCATGATCTCTGAAATCAGTATTAAACTGCTGTCTAATCTCCACTATTTTATTATAAATATAATTTAAAAAGGCATCGCAATTCTCTGGAGTAGATTCAACTGGCTGGCTAGGCAAAGGACCTATAATAGAATTAATAGTTTTTAAAAGTATTCTTGGATTATGTCACTGTTTAGTAATCAGGTCAGAAAAATATATGTTCTTGTTTCCTTAACTTTACACTGATAAGTGGACATCAGATTTTTTAAGAGGCAAGGGAGACCTCGTTTATCCTTTTTCCACTTCCGTTCTGCCTTCATGCATAGTTTCTTTAAGTTTCTTCATTCTTAATTTAGCCATGGTAAAGAAGATTTCAGCTTTCTTACTCTAATTGGAGCTACAAAATATAAAATATCTCTACAAGAGCTGTTAAAAACACTAACTAACTCCTCTACGGAGAAGTCAGATTGTTGGCTAGTGTTAAAAGGAGAATTAGAGGCAGTGAAAATTTGTTGCATATGTAAGGAGATAAATTACTGAGAAAAGCAATTCGAGACAAGTAAACTGACAGTAATCATCCACAGTGTCTTTTGGTGGATTGTGGAATTTGAGCATGCAGATGTTTTTCAAGACAGACACGACAGAGGCCTTAGTGGTGGGGTGTAGCATCCTTTATTTCAAATACCTTTACAATAGCCCTGAGGCTGGTCTCAAATACATTTTGGACACAAGAAACCTATTGGTAAATTCTTGAAGAACAATTTTGAAGAAGCCTGCATTTGAATAACTAAAGGAGCTAGTGTAGTGTTGGCATTGGTAGCACCAAATTTATATTCAAGTTTTATTTTTAATGCTAACAATTAAGTGTACCACAGACTAATGCAGATAAAGAATTGCTAGGACTTGGTTGCAAGCAGGGTCCAAAACAAATGCCAATTCTTTTTTTTATTTCCAAGTATATTACAGTTTGTTTGTATGTATATACACACACACAGATAGATGGGCCGACAGACAGACAGACAGACAGACAGATAGATAGATAGATAGATAGATAGATAGATAGATAGATAGATAGATAGATAGATAGATGGATAGGACGTGTTCATTTTGGACCCTTACTGCAAGATACAATTGTTTTTTTTTAATGCATTTTAAAGAGTCTAAGTCTGCATCATCATAGAGATTTCAGCTCCTGACCAGAGAAAAAAGGGACATCAAACTAAATACAGTCATATAGTCAAAGCACTAGAACCAACTCCAACAACTGACGTAAACTGTGAAATGGCTTGTATAATCCCTTTACTGTACAAAGAAGTAAGTAACATAAAAAGTAGGTATTTTTTAAGAATTCTGACACAATCATTTACCGTCTTTTATTAAATGAAACAGAGACTATGAAAAACCTTTTAAGTTCAGATATATCATTCACATGAAAAATAGACAAAAAACGAAAACAATCACAGCTTGTGCTATACTACTTCAGGGAAATCTTGCGAGATACGGTTTGGTAAAAGACCCCAGTAACCAATGAGCGGTAGTCGGGTACTTTGAAAAGGTGGTGGTAGGCATACGTGTTGTCATAGGGACGGCCTCGGCTCACCATGGTGCGCAGGTGCGCCTCGTTTACCTGGTTGCCCGCGGCCAGCACATACAGCTCAATGCCAGCATTGCTCACCTGCTCTACGGCTTTTTCAATCTGGTTGATGTTGACGCCTTGGGAACGACCATCTGAAAACACCAGCAGCTTCTTCTTCCTCGTCCTACTGCCTCTGAAGCGCTCAATGGCGAAGTTTAGAGCATTTGTTACCCGAGTACCTGCATTCTGGAACTTGGCTTCTGGGATTTGAGCAACCACCTGGGTGGAATCTGAGGAAAATTCGGCCTCTATGTTGGCATTGTTGCTGTACTGGCCAACACCAACCCTGACCTGGAAGTTTCCTCTTTCTGCTGACAAAAAGCGCTTAGCCAGCATTTTTGCGAAGTCCTTGGTCATCTCAAAGTTCTTGGACCCCACGCTGGCCGAGCTGTCCATCATGATGAGGACATCAGTGTTGTCAATAAATGAAACTGGACAAGAGGAAGAAGGTGTAACCATTATCATCTCATAGTCAAAACACTGACAAATGTGGTTTGTGTTCTCAAATCAATACTTACCTGGACAAGTAAAGTTGGGACACTTCTTTTCTGTGAAAAAAGCACAACGTTGCAAATATCTCTCAAAATCAAATCCAGAACCCACAAAGCTCCCTAGATGTGCAGTAGATACAGTCCTTAACCTACCTTCACAGATTTTCTCAGTCAGGTTTTGCAGGAAACTGTCATCCAAAAGAAGACCAAAGTTGTTTAAGACAAAGGAGAAGCCTTTTCTGGGATCATCTTTACACACAAGCTCATCAATCTGTTCTGGATTGGGCATCCTTTTTGCATAATCCGTCATTCCAATGCCACCAACCTGCCAGAAACCAGAAGAGAGTCAAAGATTCCTTCTACCGGGACATCCTTTCTGGTTGTGGATTTTATTTAACCTCATGTCATTGGACCGTACTTGCATGCCAATAACATCACATGTTATTGGATCACAAGTTTTCCTTAACCAAACATCACATCTGTGGGATATTTGATTCATATCATTGAATAATCAATTTAACTTCTGTGAAAGCCGTTTCAATACACCTCCTCAAAAATCCACACAGCTGCATTAGTTGATTAGCACAAAGTTCAATGCAGGGTCATTGGAAAAATGTGCCACTTCTGCAAAATGATATTATGTTGCTTCTTGCACATTTTGCTATACTTTCAAACTTAAATATCCAGTGAGAGGCACTAAAAGCATAATCAGCTTAATCCGAAACAGAAGTATGTGAATTTGCCAATGTTTTATTATAATGTTGGTTGTTGTACATATCGCGGCAGTTCAGAAATTAAATGTCCAGTGAGCGGCGTTAAAAGATCATGTCTGAAAATACTAAACCTTACAATGAACCTTATCAATGCTTTTTAACAAAAGCAAATGTGAGATAAAAACTCATATGCTGAAGCAACCATGCAATTTTAGCTCTTTTAATGTGACTCATTTTTTGGGGGGACTCGTACCTGAGTGCTCCGCATCGCAAATGCAATGCTGTACCGGGTGTGCTACCAATCAAGTTTACTATATCAGGGTGGCCATACATATGAAGCTGGTTATGTGATGCAATTGTCAAAATGTATAAGTTTATAAATCATATGCTATGGTAAAAGTATTTTGAGGTAATTGTGCAAGGAACTGTGCAAAAATAGATCCTGATTAATTGATAATCAGCATAATTAACAGGAATAAAAGTTGTTGGTGCTTTACTGCAACTAGTGTTTATTTCAGCTGGGAATTGGAAAATGGAATTGTACGGTTATGTACAGGAGTGTTGCAAAAATATAAGTGAACTTAAGGCAGTTTTTATTTTTCAAAAAAAATGTTGTCCAAGTTTACCTTCAGTCCCTTGCCACACAGCACGTTTAGGGTCACAATGTCCCTTAAGGTGTCGGAGCGTCCATCAGTAAGGACAATGACCACGCTCTTCTCCATCTCAAGCTTGTTAATCATGTTGTTTAGCGAGTACTGCAGAGCTTCTCCAGTGTACGTGGCTTCAGCCAGCCAGCGCAAGTCTTTCACAGCTCTAAAGTGAACGACAAGATCATTTTTCTTTAATTCTTCAGACACTATGCCAGACATGCATACAAAATGTAAGCTTGTATGATGAGAAAACAAATTGTTTCAAGCCACAGAAGCATATCTTGAAGTTGTTTTTGTCATATTGTGTGCAGACTGTGGCTTTTAACAAGAGAACATTGATATTTCATACTGTTTTAGGTCTGTCAGGGTCTTAATGTTGGGGTCACCAAGCTGTACGACCTCCTGAGCACTAGCACCGCTGTACTGCACCACGCCAATACGAGACTCATTGGCACCAAACTGAAAGAAACAATGCCACATATTCAACATTAGAGAGGAGGACCAAATGTAATAATTTATGAATCAACCATTGAAAACCCCATTTCGGTCGACCACTAATCTGAAAAATGTGTCTCCCTCTGTGTATATGGTTGTTATAACTCAACAAATCAAAGTTGACAGATAACTGAAATGTTAATGAGTCTCATAGCGATCTAAAAAGTTTACCTGTTTTAACTTGAGCCTGTCCATTACCGTCACAATGAAGTCTTTAGCGATGGCAAAGTTAGAAGCTCCAATACTCTCAGAGCTGTCCACAATGAAGGCAATGTCCAGGGGTCCGCATTTGCATTCTTAAACAAAAAAAAACATGCTTATAGAGAAGATGGCATTCCAAAACGCTAAATAAAATCTCACTTTGAAACTTTTTTAATATACTTCAAATTCTTGGGACTTACCACAGCAAGCTGAAAGAAAGAAATTAAGGAAGAAAGAGAGAACACATTACATTTGCATTAAAATTGACAATATCAGGCAGATCAGAAACGCATGTTCTGTCAAAACATTCACAGTAAGGGATCCACAATTATTTTGCAGTTTTACAGATGGAAGAACCTAATCTGGAAATAATAAGCGTTCATAAAAGTTAATTCATTCATGCTTAAAAAAAATCAGTTAATGCTCTGACCAAAATAGCTGACAGTTTAATCATTTTATGTTTGAATTTACAATCCAAAAGCAGAATCTCAAAAAGAGCATAATCTGTTTTTAATCTTTGGTGGCAATAATGAACAGAACAATGGCTTACTTAAGCCTCTAATACAGAGACATAAAATAAACCAATCTGTGAAAGTCTGGACAGAACAACGCAAAAGTAATATGCTTGGGAGTAAAAATAAATGGTAAAACTCTAACAGACACAAAGCAGCCTAATCTCAAATGAATGGTCTGGACCTGTTTGTCTTGTTGGCTGAAACAAATATTTTTTATTTTGGACAATTTTGTCAGCTTTTTTCTGGCCCCTCAGGTTTCATTCATAATACATTTTGAACACTGATTTATATTTATGACTCATAGTGTTTTATCGTACATGACTAATGTCATTTATAAAATTACTGACACAACAAGTGTCATTTTTTTTTAAATTGTATTATTATTACAGCAGCAACTCAAGATGATGAATGCACAGGACTAAAGCTCAAGGGTCGTATGGGGAGAACCTTAATTTCCCAAAAATATGGGCCGTATTAAGTAAAACAGCAGCCCACTACATATTATTGCATCTGATTGGTTAATACTGTTGAATCCCCTTCCTTCAAACTGGCGTGTGCTTTCACACTGAACCTTTACACAATTCTGTTCAAAGAATCTCTCTAATTAGATTAGTCCTGCTTTCACATGCCCAGATGGTGATATTAAATATCTAAGTTAAGCTTCCAAAACGAATGTTTATGATAAACGTGCACAATATATGCACATTTAAATGAATCCATTCTGGGTTAAAGGCTACGGCTCCAACAAGAGTTATGAAACAAAATAATGAATATCCTTTCAAAAACAATTAAGAGATGATTCTGTGACTTAATAATCAAAATAATTATTTACATATGACATATTATATGAATGCAGGATTTCTTCCACAGTGTTTTGGGAAAAAAGCACATTTATATAGAAATGGTGGTATTAAGTTTTTGAAAACGAAGTTGTGAACACTGAATGAACACACTGAATGAGTTTTTGTGAACACTGAGCTGGCTAGGTGGATTGCTGTATCATCACTTTATGGCACGAGCCAACATTACGTTGTTAAATCAATGTGGGTGACAGGCAGGACACCATTTATGGAGGTAGTAAAATGGAATAGTGAGTCATGGGTAAATACAAAAACAGGTCTACTCACAGCACATCTTCATGATGATATCCAGAATCTCACATTCCTACAAAGAGAGAGACAGACAGTAATAGAGAAGACCGCTGCCTCTGCAACTGATTTTCTCTGTTTATATTTTGTATCACAAAATGGAGCCACACATCCATGTTGTTTTAATTACAGGAAATTCTGCTGAACTTTGTGCACAACACTCCCCAAAGACTCACAAAGTAATGAAAATACTGAAAATACACTTTTTAAAAGTGCATTTCCTCTTGTGCTGAAGGATGAAAGCACATACTATACCAACATGCAACAAAGAGGTAATCAGGAATTAAATTTACCAATTTTTTGATAAAAAAAGATTGTACTCAAAAAATAAAAATCTTTCTCTCCAGTAAAAAAAGACACAATTTATTGAATTATTATTTTTTTATATCAGACATTTAAAATACTTTGTACACATAATACCATACAATATTTACATATCAACAACGCATACTTGGCATTCAGAAACTTGCCACAGTACTAAGAGAGATATTATAATATTCCTAAAAATCTGAATAACTAATAATAAATGTAAAATGTCGTACACTTTGAGCAGTTTCTGGTGGTGTAGCACCTACAGCTCTGCAGATCCTTCTGAAGAACGAGTAAAAACGAGCAGCTGAAGTTTAAGGTCCATTGTCAGTGCGATTTTACAAATTTATGCAGCACATTTTAGCACAGATTGCTTAGTAAACCTGTCACAATGGAACGTTAAAAACATATGTGAAAATACTTGTTTAAACTGATGTCTTAAAAGCACAGTAGTAAAATAACAGCCTGTTTAATTTTATAATGGTCGGTCACTTAATTTAATGTTTTGGGGGAATAAAAAAAACTTTATGAATTATAGAAAAACAATTTTTCTTTTTTAAATGTACAAAATCTAAATGTCACTCTTAAAGATGGCACATCTATAGTGTAATGCCTTCATTTCATTGCATATGCAATTGGAACAAGCCAGCTGTTGTGTGCTATAGAAAGATGCTTTTATTCCACAAAAGGAGCAGTCTAGTATGTGCTTGGGCCTTGGCTAGAGATTTCCATCGCTACTGACTGTCAGCGATGTGGAATTCACAAAAATAACGGAAAGTGAATCGTGGAATGTCCAGAATCATGTATTATCAAGAGCACTGTCACCATTTGCACTGCTCTTTGTCTCTTAATTCAGGAACTGTGCTGGAACATTTGCATTAGACTATATCCAATAATGTGTGCCTTTCTTAGATTTGTGCGTTCAATTAAACTCAGTTTATTTAAAGTAAATTCACTCACATCAGTTCCTTCAGGCCCAGGTGGTCCTATTGGTCCCTGTGCATGAAAACAAGACAGATGAAATGTACGATGTGCACATGAAGTCACACACCAAATGCAAATATGACTCCTTCTGTAATATCGAACAACATAAAGAGGTCTGTGCAAAGGTCACTGTCTGCTTTGTTTTGTGCTACACAGATATAATTCTGCAAGAGCATAAAAGTTCTGAATCTCTTTCCAAATAAGACCTTTTTTGAGACCGTCAAGTCTCCTCCTCTCTGGATGTCATGCAGTGGCAAAGAGGAACATCACAAAATTGCAGGCTGAGAAACATGTCCCTTCCCACACTCCCATAACTCATTGCTGTTCAGAACCGTTCTACATAACTGAAGATCTGTACACTTAAAAACTTCTCTTGGCTCCTCTGGACAGTGTAAGAGAGTGATTACTTCTGAAAATATAATAACGTCAATCATCTTGTAAATGTATCAGATTTGGAATTTTTATTTTTTTCTTTAATCAGGTTCAGTTCCAGGTTTTTGACATATTTTAGGTTACGTGAGTAACTCAAATGTGGCCAGTGATGTTTTTGATACTATCTCAAGCTACCAATAAAACTTGTCTTTCTAACTTTTATTTGGCCAAAATTTCGGGATTAGATTTGTTGATCACATTCCATTGAATTTCTCAACAAAAAGTCGAACTGAATTTTTTGTGCCTTTGGATGTCAGACATTTGATGCAGATCTCAAAAGTTCCAAGACTCAAATCTAACAGCAGATCAGTATGTTTTGTTTCGTTTCACTGATCCAAAATATAGATGCAGTGTTTAAAGTATGCCAGGATACTGACATAAACACTATAAATGGTGCAGAATAATGTGCTCATATGAACGTTCATTGGAAAACATGAATCATGATATGAACGAATATGTCAACTTTTATAATTAACCCTTACATTACATACACCAGTAGCTAAAAACATGAAATGGTGCACTCACATCTTTTCCTTCCGGCCCTCTGTGACCTTTGGGTCCTTTAGGCCCAGGTAGTCCTGGTCTGATATTCTGTGGAACACAACATATAAACATTTAGGCTTGAAAACACAATGTTGTTATTAGTAGCTGTACTATTTTAATATGGTGAATATCTGTCATTTACATTGTAAATAAAAAATATTTATATTAAATATTTATGTTAAAATTGAATATTTTGTGAATTTAGAAACATTTAGAGATTTAGTAAATATTAAGTAAAATGAGTGTATAATTTTTATTTAGTTCGCATTTTCTGTGTGTCCCATTTGTGACTATTACATTTTATGCAGTGGGATCCACTTGTGAAAATGTGCCACTATTTGCCTTTTTCTAATATTATTATTTACATTAAAATGATATTATCAGTATAACATTTAAAGAGAAAATATTATTTTAAATTATAACAGTTAAAATGTAACAGTTATGTCAACAATGGCATAATTTCATCTGCTAATTTCCAGGTTTAAATTAGACTCTTGATTCCAGATTTTCAGACTTTTGGACATCACTATTATATTATTACTATAAGCATCGCAATTCAGCTGTTTCAAACTCTCCCAGACAACTATCTTGCACCATATAAACAATTTAGATGGTCGCCAATAATTCAGCTGCCTCTGCACAGTTCTGCCTCCAACCCAGCAGATACATTCATCCCTTCATTAAGGTCAGGTGGTGAGATAATACTAACCACCAGTCCCCATTTTCAAGTCGTTTCTCCCATGCTGCTTCAATTACCTTCAAATTCCTCACTTCAAAGTCCACAACTGTCACAGACCTTTTTCCTAACGAGCTGACAGTAGGGACAAGGTTAAATGATGCCGTCACGCCAATATTGTTTTGGCTCATTGTGATTACCTTGACAGATACGAGACCAAGTGTGGGTTTGGGAGAGGCTGAGGGAGCCCAATCAATTGTTTACAAGGACAGAAAAACATTTCCAAACAGTCTTGGAAAGCAGAAAGACAGAGCCAAACATAAGGAAGAGTAAAGCACCTTCATGGCTCATATGGAACAGATGTGAGGCCCTGAATATCAATGTATACAAAATAATGTACACAGCATTAAATCATCACTTTGCATTAGCACAAACATAATAAATACATCAATTTTGCCAAGTAATAACACATTCACCTAGAAAAATAAACATATATCACTGTTAATATGTATAATCAATGCAGTGTATGTATGCAGTGTTTATGCACGCTTTAAACAAATGCAGATAAAGTGATCAAATCACCTGACAGCTGTACTAGAGGAATCTTAGAAAAAGTAAATAAAGTAAATAAACAGAAAAGTCAGAATTGTGAAATGTAAACTCACAATTGTGAGAAAAATTTACATTTTGACAGTCAGAATATAAATAAATCAGTTATAAACTTGCAATAAGACTTTTCTTAGACTTTTTTTCTCCCTCAGAATTGCGCGTTTACATCTCACAGTTCTGAAAATCTTGCAATTCTGAGTTGTGCAATTGTGAGAAAAAAAGTCTGAATTATGAAATATAAAGTCAGAATAAATAATAAAGATAGACTTTTCTTCTCAGAACGGTGAGTTATCATCTTGCATTTCAGACTTTTTTAAAGAAGTTAATATTTTGCAACTCTGAATTTATGTCTCGTAAAAATTGACACTTTTTAATCTCACAATACAAAGTTTGTATCTCAAAATTTCGACTTCTCTTCAATTCTGAGTTTACAGTATATCTCGCAATTGCGATTTATAAACTCCAAATTATAAACTTGCAATTCTGACTTTTTTTCTTGTGGTTATCTCTTAGTTTATTTCTCACAATTCTGAAAAACAAGGAAAATAATTGCTTATTTCCGGCACAGAATTTAAAAAAAGGTAACTGCGACTGTTTATCTCACAATTCCAGTAGCCCCTCACTGCAGAACACAAGATCCAGGGGGCGAGGTTGGATCCACATCTAGGGGGTGGAGATTGGTAGATTTAGGGGTGGAGATGGGTGGGTTTAGGGATCAGGGGGTGGAGATGGTAGGTTTAGGGGTGGAGATGGATAGGTTTAGGGATCAGGGAGTGGAGATGGGTACACTCTAAAAAAACTCAATTGGGTTGTTTTGACCCAGCGGTTGGGTTAAATATTTAACCCAACCTTCTGGGTAGTAACCCAACCGCTGGGTCAAAACAGCCCAATTGCTGGGTTTGTCCCCATTTTACCCAGCATATGTCCCCACTTTACCCAGGTATATGTAAGGTGGGAGGAGTTGGATCTTGATCCAACCTCGCCCCCTGGATCTTGTGTCCTGCAGTGAGGACCATCTCCACAATTCTGACTTTTTTCTCTGAATTACGAGTTTATATCTTGCAAATGACATTCCATATCAAACAGTCTGGTTGCTAATATTCTATTGATTCAGACACAGTTCAGTTTGGCTCTATTTATCAACAAAACGAACAAACAAACTAGCATGCTAGCATGCTGCTATATGCTATAGGTGTTCTGAGTTGATCATAGCATGTTGCTATTCGGCTGCTAAGGTGTTTAATTGATTATAAAATATTTAAAAAACAATGTTTGACGAGTTGCACCCTAAGTATGAGAAGCAGTAATAGTGATCGCCTTAGCAAATCTACTAATAACAGATATCTTCATAAACAGAGAGATCAGCTGTGTGTAAAGTTTAAACATCTGAGACACATATGCTGCAAAATGTTTAGATATCATGTAAATATTGCATTTGATTAATAAAGGCCTTTCTGTAGCCCAAACGTTCACGTGTGTTCAATCACAGCAGTTTAACTGAACTCTAAATCATTGTTCAGCATGTTAAATTGTTCTTCCTTCTGCATTATTGTGAATGTTATTCCCTCCGAATCTGATGTTTATTATGAAGAGACTCTGGCCAGTCTTTAAGATTCAGTTATAAAACATGTAGTAAACATTTTAATTTATGGCCTTCTGCAATTCTGCTAATGATTACTTTTGAAATTATAGTCAGTTTGCTTCTTTCTGATCTTTGCACAACCAAATGCATGTTTCCATTGTTTAAACTAATCTTAGTATGGTAAACTACTGAAAACTTTTGCAGGGGGTCTTTAGTCAGTAAAATTAAACCCTCCAAAACGAGCACTAGCCCAGGACCTTATGAGCATAGACACAGGGTAAATTTCTAATTACTCTAAAGTGTGTGTGTGTCTGTGTGTGTGGTTGAACTTTGAGTGCATCTATCTATAGCCATTGCCTTTTCATGTTTTAGGCGCCAAATATGCTCTAAGTGATCTCTTCTAACAAAATGTGTCCGAACACTTTATAAGACAGTGCAAGTATATGTTGCACTTCCAGCCTTGCCACATGTGGCACTTTAGAAGACAATCGTGTAAATGTCCAAAAAGAAACCAACTGGACACAGTTAAAACCTTTCCTTTATAATAATTAAGTAGCATAATTCTAATAATTAAACAACAACACAACATATATGTTGCTTGGGCGGAAAAAATGTGTATGCATAACAAGGCTGCATTTATTTGATCAAAAATACAGTACAGTAATATTATGAAAAGTACTACAATTTAAAACAACTGTTCTATAGTTTCATATATTTTAAGATATAATTTACTCCTGTGATGGCAAAACTGAATTTTCAGCCAGTCTTAAGTGTCACATGATCCTTCAGAAATCATTCTAATATGCCAATAAAAATTTTTGTGGAAACCGTGATACATGTTTTCAAGGATTCTTTGAATAAAAAGTTCAAAAGAACACATGGTTTCCTTTGGATGGGCCAATTGCTTAGTCCAAACAAGTCCAATATAACGAGTTTAATACTTCATTTAAATTTGCTAAACAGCAACAGCCTCAGCAAACACAGCTAATATCAGAAGTCTAGAAAGGGTATACTGTAAATGTCTTTAATAGAAATATCACCATGTGAAAACTGTTTACACACATCTGCTGCAAAATGTGTGTGGCATGTAAACATCCCGTATGATTAATAAAGGCATTTCTGGAGCCCAAACATCTAGAGTGTGCATTCTATCACTGCTCAACAAACAAACAAAAAACTAACTCTCTCTATTCGCTCAATATCTCTCTTTTGGTGTGAGAGAGCAATCATTTTAAAATTAGAACATCATTTCTAAAGAAAGAACCATGAAAAGCCAACAGCTGCAAAACAATTCTTCCACATATGCATGTCTCCACTTCCTTGAAGTTTTTGGCTTTGCATGGACAAAGACAAACACAGTGATGAATAGCGAAGCAGTCTGGGCGTTCGATCCCCAAAAATGGACTCCAGATGACCGAAGATAAAAGCTTGCGAGCATATGTATTAATTGCCATTGTGTCGGCTTGTACAACCACAATAAAGCGATGTATAAATTAAACATGAGCTCGGCGCTTTAATATAAGCATGTGTGATGTTTACAGCCAACATTCAAGGTCATTTTATATCACAGGATCTATCATGATGTCGTTCTTTTTTAGCTGGAAATTCAAAGAAAATATAATAAAAACAATATAAACTCAACATAAATTCAATTTTAACTACACTGACATATTTCTACCGTCACACAGTATACAGTATAGCGTCATACTGCCCAGTCCTACAATGCATATGTCCCAGATGTAAGGAAGTGACATAATGAAATGCAATCCACAGTATGGTGCGACATTACAAAGTCTGCAGTCCATGCTTTTGTCCTGTTGTTCAATTTATTCCATTGGGATCCAAGTTTGGGGTCTTGGATTACAAAACAAACTGCTCAACATCTACCTGCTGATTAGATCAAATGAAAACTGAGCGCTAAAGCGTCGTCTAAGATGAAAACGCTGTTATCTTAATCCTGCAGATGTGCAAAATGGCCTAAATGATCAAAGCACTGAACACGTGGGCCGTTTTCTCAAAAGATTGCACTGCAGAAGCGCACAGCTAGACAACATAAACAACAATATTAGCCGTCATATCTGCAGTCGGTTCCCTGTCAATTCCCCGCACACTTCCATCTCCTGATGGGAATAAGCCTGAATGATGAATGCACGGGATCAAACTCTTTGTTTTCAGGCTACTAGTGTTTTTTTATAACACCCCAGATGGATGGGAAAGTTTATTTTGGGATGAAATCAGAATATTTCCACTTGTAAACACAGACAGGGCAGAGAATGAAAGCATCTTTGAGATGTCTGTACATGTGTGGGATCAGAAAAGACAAAAAAACCCGCCAAAGATAAGGCTCAAGTACAATGCAACTTTATGGCCTTTTTCTCATCTGTTTTATTATCTGTCAAGAAAAAAAATTAAGTCTGACTGCTTAGAAAAGTTATATGATTTAAGGCATTATTCATGTATGTAGCACATATGAAGTGCCAAAATGTTTCTTAAAAGAGTTAAATCAAATACGATGTACTAGCAAGCACCACTAATAAGCCTAAAAATGTACTAAATGGATATTGCATTCTCTCAAAAGGAAGAGATGTTACTGCAGTGGCTAAATCAAGCATCTTGAACATGCAAGATTTTTACCAATAATGCCTCCGCGAAAAAAAAAAAAAAAAAAAAAAACGCCAAAGATAAGGCTCAAGTACAATGCAACTTTATGGCCTTTTTCTCATCTGTTTTATTATCTGTCAAGAAAAAAAATTAAGTCTGACTGCTTAGAAAAATAATATGATTTAAGGCATTATTCATATATGTAGCACATATGAAGTGCCAAAATGTTTCTTAAAAGAGTTAAATCAAATACGATGTACTAGCAAGCACCACTAATGAGCCTAAAAATGTACTAAATGGATATTGCATTCTCTCAAAAGGAAGAGATGTTACTGCAGTGGCTAAATCAAGCATCTTGAACATGCAAGATTTTTACCAATAATGCCTCCACTGCAACAAATGTCCTATTAGCTGTTCTAAAACAACATATCTAAATTTTACCGGATAGCATGATTTCATCATTTAATAGACCAAATACAAAACACTTTACCACAACTTCCACCATCTAAAATCAATCATCTGCACAAAAAAGAGCCTTGTGTCCAAACTTGTGACTCTTCTGCAGCACATGTTGTTTTGTGAGCGTGCTGGAGACCCATCTGTTGGACTGAAAGTGTGTGGGGGCTGTTACAAAATGTAAACCAGCTGAGGAGTCTGGCTTTTTTAAAAAAAGTGTTAAACATGAACTTCCAATGAATTTCTGCTCTCAAGCAATCTTGTTTTTCCAAACTGATTGGAATAATCACATGTTTCTTAAAATATATTTTTTATTATGAATGCATGCATTCAAGAATGACAAAGTTGTTTACCCTGTGTAAGTTTACTGGAAAAAAAACTTAGCTCTGATGTGATTTTCTCACAAAAAATCTGGCAAAATAAAGTACCTTATGACTTCCTTTCTAGCTGTTTGAAACGAAGGTGAATAAAAATACAGCCTTCTTAAAAAAGATTAGCCAAACTTCGCTTCCTTGAATCCATGACAACAAGAAATACACAGCTGCCTGAACGCAACACTGGAGACGGCAACCAAACTCTGAGAGAAGCTCTAGGATTCTTCATGATGTCAGGTAAAAAAATTGTTACAGACAATAACAAAGTAATATAGACAACTGCCTTTGGTTAGTTAAAACCAGTTCTGAAGATCAAAAGGATTAACTCACCCTCTCTCCCATCAGGCCTCTGTCTCCTGGGGCCCCTTTGATTCCTCTGGGCCCTTTAGCTCCCTAAAGCACAGACATGCAACATGGGAAATGTAGATAAGTCACAGATGCAGCAATAGGTCATGTCGAAAGGTAATCAAGACTAGTTAACCTTACCCACCTCTGGCCCAGTAGGACCCTCATCGCCACGGTAACCTGGTGCCCCTGTCCTTCCTAGCTCGCCCTGTTGGAAATGGGGAAAAATTATATTCCTGAAGGTATTCAAATATATTAGGATCCCTCTGCCAGCCTAAACTAGTTTTCTTATCTGGTTTAAGATGATCTCCCAGCTTGGTCAGGCTGGTGTTTAGCTGGACAGCCAGTTAGTCTCCCAATCTTACTGGCTGAAAAAGACCCAAAGCCCCTTTAAAAGAAGCCAACAGGCCAGTCTGACCTCACCAATTTTTTTAATTGAATGTGAAATTACTGTTACTAATTCTCTTTCATCTTTGTATCTTTGTATATTTTGGATCTACGCACCATATGTTTTTTGCCTACAGGATATTTGGACGAGTGTTTGGCGCTACTACCTTTTTTTGTGGATTATAATTACTAATTCTAAAATAATTATTGTGAAATTATAATATGAGAAGAAAGAGGCCACAGAGAATATATATATAACATTTATAACTATTTTAAAATGTATTTTTATTTATTTATTAATATATATTATACTATTCTAATAATATTACAATATATATTACAATATTATATTATTGTGTAATATATATATATATATATATATATATATATATATATATATATTATATTATTATTAAATGTAATAATAATTTAATATTATTTAATATATTATTTTACAATAAACTGTAGTGTAAATGGGGAGGATAAAAGTCAATCAAGAGTCAAGGACATGGACACTGAAGACAGAGCCATTCATAACAACATGGTAACTTCAAGCACAAAAGTGAGCATTTGGATAACAGCAGTCCTCGGTAGTCGCTAATGAAGATTATGTGAGAGCCTTAAGAGCAGCTGGGCTGCTCAAACGGCTGTTTTTGAGAAACAACAGATGACTTTGAGAAAACCATGAAACTGAGGAGCCATTCGGGCACGCACATGCTCCAAACACTCTCACGTAAGCTACACAGGAAATTTAGAGTCCTGAGAGGCAACGGAAATGTGTCGGTCTGTTCGTAGTTGGCCTGGCAGATTACAAGAGCTGTAGAGAAAAGTTAAGTGCCGACAGAACTAACATACATGGAGTTCTGTGGTGCAGCTGGTGATGTTGTAAGCCTCAAGAATCCAAGGTAAAAATCTAAGTAGATTAGCTCGTTTCAGCTGGGAAATCTTGAGTCAGGTCTGGCATGTATAATCACTCTCAATGTCCTTCCTAAAGCTGAACCATTCTAATCAATATTACTCAAAGCCTAAAAACTAGCCAAACCCTTTGATTGAGACAAGAATTTTTGTCTTGAGATAAACACATTATGCACATGTGGTCAAAAAAACAAACAAAAAAACTCTAGATGGTGTCATGAAACTCTAGATGGTGCAGACCGATAGGTCCTAACTCAATCTGATATAATCATGTCATTATACACATGGCGCAGCTGACTGGTGTTTGTTGCATCAGCAGCCAATGAGCTTGCTGCTCAACATTCAAATACTTGGCCATTGTCTTCCATAGCAGTTTGCAGCACGCTTCACAAACCCTCCACCTTCCCCAGCTCCACCTGTATAGATTTGCTATGCATACTTTCACATATATTATATGTGCAGTGTACTCTCATATACTGTATGTTATATGTGCTACAGCAGTATTTCTTACATGCTCACAGCAGCAAGTTTAGGTACTTGCTCTGCCACAGCAGCAGCGTAGCACATTAACCTTGCTAAGTATATTACCATACTAATCTTTCTGAGAGTTGTCATGACAGAACTATAAATACTTATATATTAAACAATCTAAAACAATCACCAGTGCTTTTCTATTTGAAATGATCTATGTTTTTATGTGATTAGGGCCTGAGTGGAACAACTTACAGCCTAAATGAGTTTTAGACACTCAGTCAACGAAAACAACGTCATCTTTTACTACACAAAGTGTAAGATATTTCTTTCAGGGAAAAACATTTGTATGCTTTTAGGTATTAAATACATCTGTTGAACTGTATCTGCTGCTTAGTTTTGAACTCGCCCAGCCGATCTAACTTCATCCATCTGGAGTCCATCTGACCTTGGGAACTTATATAGCTTTCCTTGTTTGTCCTCCCACTGCCCAAACCATCACAAATGGCAGAACCACTGGCCGTATTTCTTTGTTCCTCAAGTTACCTTCTAACACAGCCCAGAGGGTCCAATGATCTCAGAGATTTCAGAGGGCCTATCAGAATGCCTGTGGCCTGAGGTCATAAGCTTTCATTCTTGTTCAAGCTCTTATGTCTTACATACTACACAATTCTGCTCTGTATAATTCTGGATTAACATTTAAGGAAGTGTATAATTGCAAAAAGATGATAAAATGATTGAGTTTAGAGGCTTGAACTCCCGCAGTGTCTTGGTTCAGGCAGGATAATGCTGAAGGGCATTAGACACTCAAAATCTGTTGTATACCACTCACAGAGGAGAACTGGCCCCATGACTGAGCCTGGTTTCTCCCAAGGTTTCTCCTCCATTTCTGTCACCGATTGAGTTTTGGTTCCTTGCCACTGTCGCCTTTGGCTTGCTTAGTTGGGGACACTTGACTGATTGCACAGACACTACACTCTTAAAAATAAAGGTGCTTCACGATGCCATAGAAGAACCCTTTTGTCTAAATGGTTCCATAAAGAACCTTTAACATCTGAAGAACCTTTCTGTTTCACAAAAGGTTATTTGGGGCGAAAGAAGGTTCTTCAGATTATAAAAAGGTAAGAAAGAGATGGTTCTTTAAAGAACCTTTGACTGAATGTTTCTTTGTGGAACCAAAAATGGTTCTTCTATGGCATCGCTGTGAAGAACCGTTTGAAGCACCTTTATTTTTAAGAGTGTACTGGAAGAGAGCTGAACTGGATGATGATATCACTGGATCATCAATGAACTGACTTTAGCTGGAAAAATGACTCTGTTTTACTATGGCATCGCTTGAAGAACCTTTTGAAGCACCTTTATTTTTAAGAGTGTACTGGAAGAGAGCTGAACTGGATGATGATATCACTGGATCATCAATGAACTGACTTTAGCTGGAAAAATGACTCTGTTTTTGTCCTCTTGCATTATTGACAAACTATTTTCCTGTTTGACACTGTAAAGCTGCTTTGACACAACCGGTATTGTATAAAGCGCTATATAAATAAAGGTGACTTGACTCATAATAGTTTTCTTCACTCACTCACCGGCTCTCCATTTGGCCCTGCTGATCCCTCACGTCCTTGTTCACCCCGGGGGCCAGGTTCACCCTGCCAGAGTTAAAAGTCCATATTCAATTCACTTGTCTCATTCTTTCAAAACATAATTGTATTCTTGGGTGCATAAACACCAAAGGCTTAAGCTGTCAAAAAGCAATTTACCGAACAGAACATGCACAATTAATATCTAATGAATTTGTTTGAAACAGACATTATGTACACTATATCTGTGCATATATTACATGTCAGATATGTTTAATTTAAGAAAATGTGTATTTGATTAACAAGAGAGACTTTAGAGCCATTTCACTTATTAGTGAGAACACTACGTGTCTTAAGTCAGCATGAAATCAAAATTAAACCAATTTACTTTCTTGTGAGCAATTCATTTGTGTGCTATTTCAATGAGAAAAAAATATGCAGAAAGATGTATAAAATATTTCAACCTTTCAGTTGGAAATCCAAACAAAATGATTATTGATAAAAGTGTAAAGACATAATCATGTGTTAAATAGTCGAAATTTACATAGAAAGTATACATTTTTGCATAGAATTCATAACTATGACAAAGTTTTTGTTATCACTTTATATCTCATAATTTCAACTTTTTATGTCATAGTTATAACCTAATATGTCATAACGTCCACTTGTCATAATTATGACTTTTTATGTCGTAATTTAGACTTTTGTCATAGTTATAACCTATTTTGTCATGATTATGGAGGAACTTACAGCCTATATTTTTTTGAGATAATACTATGACAAAAAGTCAATTTTATGATTTTTTTTTGTCATAACTACGAGTTAGTATCTCATAATTTCAGCTTTTTATATCATAATTGTAACCTAGTATGTCATAATTTCAACTTTTTATGTCATAATTATTAAGGAATTTACAGCCTAAATGAGTTTCAGACACTCAGTCGACCCTACAGCCTAAAATAATGTCATCTTTTACTACACAGACTTTAAGATATTTCTGTCAAGGAGCAACATTTGTTCAAATGTTTTTAAATATTAAAATGCATCTGTTGATCTGTATCTGAAGCTCAGGTCCACAAAATAACTTTTATTATTAATGGCTTGTGAATGTCATTTCAAGTTTATTTTAAATGATTAGTAGGGTTTTACCATTGTGTTTGGAAGGGATGTATTGTGGGATATTTTCTAAATGCGACATATACTCACAGGGTCGCCTCTGGGCCCTCTGTTACCACGGGAACCTTGTTCACCTTTCTCACCAGGTGTGCCCTGTAACAGAAAAACACATCAATTCAGATCGCCTGCATATCTTGACCATCACATATCTTGACCATCACATATATAAAATGCAAAAAGACCCACATCTGCAAACAGCATGAAACACAACCATTCACACGTCAAGCTACTAAGACAGAAGTAAATATAAATGCTTGGTTACTTTTTCTCCTCCTGTGCCATCTGGTCCTGGTGGTCCCTAAAAAGAACAAAGAAACTGTTAGATAATACTAAAAGCAGGTCTGTCACCCATTAGTACATTGCATGTTTAGAATCCAAGTCTTTAAAAAAGTGACAAAAAGAGTAAGAACACTTACGTCATCTCCTCTCTCCCCTTTATCGCCATTGACGCCACGAGGACCCCTGTCTCCCTGAAACAACAAACAATGGGATTGCAGATAAGCCAATGTCCTTTAAAATTAGTTATAATGTAAAAAACCCAAGTCAAACAACAGCATTAGTAAATCATAACTAACCTATGTCAAGGGTTATGTTACATTTACCAGCCAAATAAAAGTCATAAAACTATATTTAATGCAAGATCAAAATCCTCTGTACCTTCGCCCCTGAAGGCCCATAGTTTCCAGGTCTTCCTGGTTCACCGTCTCTGCCAGGATCTCCCTGAAATCAAACACAGAAGATATGTTTTTAAAGATGTTTTCCTGCTTGAAATGATTCATAATATGGTTATATCACAAATTATATCTCTTTAAGACAACACTCAAGTATCTAGCGTCTCAGATGTTTTCCTGAGAAAATGTCTATGTCTCAAATTGTGCTTAGATTTGCCAAAATAAAGTCAGCAATCAAAAATCAGAGGTCTTAGTATAAACTTGTAATTCTCAACAATAGTCCTCAAGGATGGATGTTTTTTTTTTTTTTTTGGATTTAGCAAGGATGCATGAAATTGATCAAAAGTGACTGTAAAGACATTGTTTCACAAGATTTCCATATAAAATAAAAGCTGTTCTTTTGAACCTTATATTTATTAAAGAGTCCTGTTTCCACTAAAATATTAAGCAGCACAACTGTTTTTAACATTGATAATGGTAAGAAATGTTTCCTGAGCACCAAATCAGCATACCGTGACAGGAATAAATTACATTTTAAAACAGATTAAAATAGAAAACAATTATATTTTAAATTTTAATAATATTTCACAATATTACTGTTTTTACTGTAATTCTTTTTTTTTTTTACTTTGATCAAATAAATGCAGCCTTGATGAGCATAAGAGACTAAGAGCTCTTATTGATGTCTGATCTTGATTTCTAACTTAATCTAAATTTTAAAATCAACCTTTCATTCTTATCCCTTACTCTTTTTCCTTTAAGTCCATATTGTCCGGGATCTCCTTTAGGACCTGGATCTCCTTGGAAGCCCTACCAGATTAAATAAAAATTCTTTATGAATAAAGGAGAAGAACACACAACCAGATATCCTACATTTCTTTTAGTATATTCTTTACTACAGAATGTAAACAAAGTACAAACACTGTGCAGAGTTGTGAGAGCAGCTTGGATGTCAAATTTGATAAATGTTTGGCTGCTCATAAGGCAAACATCCCACGTCCTGGTCTCCAGATGCAGGCTGAGTAGAAACAGCTGCTCCTAAAACTGACTGACAAACTGTCCAGCCTATGAGCATTGCTTAAAGGGCCGGTATCATCTACAGTCCTAGTGAGGTGATGTTTTATAGGCGAATGAGAGCCAACTTCTCAGTCAATTAGATTCTGATATCTAAACTTGTAGATCTATAACTTCATCTAGAAATCTCAAATGCATCTGGATCAACAGAAGCTCAAATGCATCTGGATCAAAGTAATATGATGTGGACATGCAAACATGCACTCAGCTGATAGACTGTCATGGGAGTCCATGAACATGCAAAAGCCCTGTAAACACTTACTGAAAGTGAGTACAAGTATAAAACCTGCAACAAATTTCATCTTATATATCCTATATATATATATATATATATAATTTCATCCTATAAGTATATGTATGCACAAAAGGAACATCTGGCAAACAAATAAGATTTATAAAAATATATTTTTGCACTCTAACCTGTGCAAATTTCGTTTTTAAACCCCAGTTAGCAGATTTATAAACATGCACGCACAAGTGTAATTCCCTACCCAGAATATTAATAATAGATACTTTGTTTTGAGTACTAGAATATTACAATTAATATATAGCTTGATCATGACTACCTCTGATTTAATTATGGCTTATCCATGGTTAAAAAAGTGCAGACGATGCACACTTTTTTCCCCTTAAAAATTACATATTTTTGACAGATAATAGTTGTACTTACATCTGGCCCCGGTGACCCTTTGCAGCCAGGAAGGCCTGAGAATCCCAGCTCACCCTATGAAATATAATACAAACACACAAAACATAAACACTCTTCTTCATGGTGGGAGTCAAACACCCTGAACTGCACGTAATTACCTCGAGGGTGACACCATGCAAAGAAAGAGTAAAGAAATAAAGTACTAAGGAAAGACATTACAAATCAAGATTGCATGCAATGGAGACCGAAAATAACAACAGAAACAGATACATGTTGTAAATCACAAGTTTTACTGTGAACTCAGATGAATCATGAACAGATGGGGGAGTGAAGTTAAGGGACAGTGACTTGTTGAGTGGAAAATGCCTTGGAAAGAGTTACAGTACAATGTTGAGAACTAATAGAGGAGCAAATCGACTCAAGGATGAAGAAGTAGTGAAGTCAAGGGTCAGAGACACTAGACTAGGCTGTTTTCCCAAAGGGCAGACACACTTAAGAAGCGACAGACATGAAAGCAGAAATGGGATAAGTGTCAGAAAAACAAGAGAGATGGCCATGCCATGTTTTCGGTGTCTATTGTTCACATACTGTTAACCTGAAATCTGACACAGGATACCAAAGAAAGCAGCACAGGAAGATGAGAGAGAAATAACGTCAAATCTAACAGCAGTGTATTATTTGTCAATATTCAATTCATTTAATCATCCTCATGTAATTTCAAACCAGTTTTCAACTTTTGTTTAACACAAAGGGAGTTATTTTGCAGAACATCCACGCTGCTTTTTCCTGCACAGTGAAAGTCAATGGGGATGCGGCGCTGTCAAAAAAGCAAATAAAAGACGTACCATACAATTTGTGCACTATATATTCCAAATCTTCTAAACGCCATTTGATAGCTTTGTATGAAGGACAAATCAAAATGTAAAGCATTACTAAAAATCCTTGAACTATCATTTGTTAATTTGACACTGCCATCACATGACTGTACATGAACACACACAAAATTTGAAAACTATGGAAGGTTTGAAAACTATCGGAAGATTTTCTGATTTAAATAATCTAATTTTCAGTCTCATCGCTTTAAAATGTAGTCATATAAGCCATTTTATTCACACTTATGATCGTTTAAAGTCATCCTCAGACCTTGATGATCCCTGACTCCATTCGCTCTTAATATATGGGAAATAGCAGCAAATTTTATGCAAAATTTCAAATTTTTTGGTGCATGGAAGAAGAAAATATATAAAGGTTTGGTACATTTTTAGGTGCACTATCCCTTTAAAATGCTGTTTTTGTGTCATATAGGAAGAGGACATCAGCACTTACCTTACGTCCATCGACGCCATCAAGACCATGACGACCTTTGTCTCCCTAAAAGTAGGATTGGGTTTCAATTCAGCATGATAAACAACTGGTAAAAACTGGCAAAACTGAATAAATAAAGAGAATGCTAATAAATAAGCTCACCTCGAAGCCTTTATGACCTCTCCCTCCCTACAGATAAAACACAAGTGTATTTGTGATGTTTAGCAATTCCAGAATAAATTATGAGAGAAAATAATCAACTGCAGACTCTTAGAATGTGCTTTTGATTAAAAAAATTTAAAAATGTCTGTCGAATCAGCAAGGAAGCTCTGTCTCTTTTACCTTATCACCTCTTATTCCTTGGTCTCCCTGGAAGGAAAGGAAAATAGTATGGATTATCGTTTCAGCAAGTGCGCACAAATCAACTGTAATATCAACAGAATGTAAATATTTGTGAGAGAGAGCGGAAGACAGACCTTCATTCCTTGGTAACCGACTGGACCGGGATCACCAGGACTTCCCTAATAGGAGAAGAAAAGAAACATCAGAGAGAAATGCCAAACATAATTTTGCTGGATATTGTAGTGACATAAATAACTAACGCAGAGATATTTGCTAATATGGCTGCCCTGAAACCTACAGTGACAATATTAACAGGCCTTAAGTGAGGATAAACAAGGATAAAGCCAGATTCAAGTCTCAGATTGTATCTTTAACCAAAATATTCCTACAGGGCTTTAGGGGGTCAACTGTATGCTGTGATTATTGTTATGTCGACACAATCAGCGTTTGCTGTTAAATAATAGAATAGCTGGCTCAGTCACCATTTGCTGTTTAATAGCATAGCTGGATGCTTCCCAGTGTGTGTGCTTCTTTCATGACACTTCCAAGGACTAAATTTCAGAAGACATCCTTACAAACATAGTAAAACTGTATGCATGTTTCAGACAGGAAGTCCACCAGCAATTTCAGAGAAAAAAAAACTAATTTTAACAGATCGTTGAAATCGTAACAGCTGCAGAAGATGAAAGACCTCGGGGTCAGTCGAGGGTTTTGCTTTGATTGGATTATCAACAAAGAAATCCAGGGACACATGGAACATTTATTCGACACAATGATCTCATAGCCATATGAAAAGTATTAATCAGCACAATAATAGGCACATACAATTGACTTTTTACCTGACAGCTGTATATTTTGACTTCATTCTAAAGGTGCGGACATATTTATTGTTCTTCAACAAATTTTTGAAGAACAATAAATCTACTAATTTAAATAGAATATTTACCGAATCTACACAATCAGGAATTTTGTGTGAGGGTGAAAAATTTCCTCATGCAGATTTCGCAGCGTTGATCATGCATATTTGCTATGTTGACCAACAAAAAGCTTCTTGGTTTGAAAGTGATTTCAGTGTGAGCGGTGCTTTATACAGTCCATCTTTACACTATCGACAATAGACAATAAACCTTTTTTGCTAATGCTAATGTGACCGCACCTTTAGTATACTGTGTATAGCCCATTTACACCAACAGTGATAACTATAACGATAACTATATTAGCGTCCACATCAACCATGATTTTATTCCGTTTATTATAAGTGTGCAGTGCCGTTTTGTCATCTGCCGGTTTAAATGATTGAGCTTTTTAAAGATTTTAAGTATTCTGATTGGCTGTCAATGTTTTGTAAAATTGTTCTGAAAGTTATTCCAATGATATTGTTTCTCTGTTTTTATCTCTATTCTCATAGAATTAGAATCATTTAAAACTTTGACTTGTAAATGGACTTTTAGATGTGAGTTATGACACCTCACTTCTATTAAATCTGTAAAAATAAACTAGATTCTTTAGAAATTTTTGATTTTTTTTGGCATCTAATCATCTGCAAGCTGGAAATCATAGGTCGACAAGTTTGGTGCCAAAGTTTAATACTTAAGATTAAGAGGTTTAGGTTAAATCCCTACATCTAAATATGAGCAAGTTCAGCATTATAATTGATCCCAAGTGTTTTCTGGATCAGAAACAAAGTGGAGGAGCACAGAAATTTCAGATGTACTCCTGCAAACACCCACTATCACTTCTGAACAGGAGCATATCTAAAAGCAGATGCTTACCTGAGCTCCAACATCACCTTTCTCTCCCGGCATGCCTGGTCTTCCAGCTTCTCCCTGCAGAAAAAGAAAAGGTTAGGTCACAGTCATCTGTGCATGCTGATAGTGAATTAAACGTGAATACTTGTAACATTTCATAGGAATACACAGGTGCTTTCTATGCATATGGATGAAGAAGCAACATAAAGACATAAAAAATATATTTTTTTTTAATACTCACTTTTTGTCCTAAGTCACCAGGTGCTCCGACAGGGCCGACAGGGGCCTGTGAAAATATTGCATGAAACATTTAGAAACAGAAAACATTCATACAAGATGTTTGAATGGATTAGACAAGTAATGTTACTTACGTTGCAGTCAAAGGAGCAGCACTGAAAGAAAAGATTAAGAAGACAATTAATATCCTAATGTACAAAGTAAAAATTAGTGTTGCATTAAATGTGCAAAAGCTATGGAAAAGCCACATACCACATCCTTTGTTTCATTTGTCTAGAATGAAAATCAAAAAAGGGGGAGAGGACAACATTAGACAAAATCTACACACACAATTGCTTTTTTTTTTTTTACATTTTTACATTACATTGTTCATTTGTTTTTTTATAAGATTGCCACTGTTAGATCTCATATCTCACTTCCCTCTGTTGATCCATCTATCACTAGCATGTGCTCTGCTGTTTTTAACACGTGTCTCTTTCTTCTTTGAGAGATATTATTGGTAAAATGAAACCAGAATTTTACACATGCAATAATGGAACCATTGATCAAAAAGTCAAATTTGGACAGCTTGGTTCTCGCCAATTTCAGACCTATATCAAAACGGCCATTCCTGTCCAAAGTATTAGAGAAGGTTATATTTATACAATTGCAATCTTTTCTAGATCTACATGGGTTTAAGGAAGTGTTCCAATCTGGTTTTAAATCCTGTCATAGCACTGAAAGTGCACTTGTCAAAGTTTTTAACAACCTGTTACTAGCCACTGACTCAGGTGATTATGCTGTTCTCTTGCTTTTAGAACTTACGGCTGCATTTGACACGGTAGGCCTTAAAGGGGTCATATGATGTTGCTAAAAAGAACATTATTTTGTGTATTTGGTGTAATGAAATGTGTTTATGCGGTTTAAGGTTATTTAAACATACTGTAAATTATTGTTTCTCCTCTATGCCCCACCTTTCTGAAACGTGTCGATTTTTACAAAGCTCATCGTTCTGAAAAGCAAGGTGAACACTGATTGGCCAGCTATCCAGTGTGTTGTGATTGGCCGAATACCTCAAGCGTGTGACGGAAATGTTACGCCCCTACCATACTGTGATGCCCTGTCCGGCCGTAGCGACGAGACAAAAACATTAAAACCCATTATAAATGAGGCATTTGTTGCATCCAGTGGGGACATAATTACGGATTATAATGACTTATACTGTCTTTTTACACGTTGCACCGCGCGTAAACATAAAACCATGTCTGCATTTGTGATCGGAGAAATGACAAACAACAAGCGCTACTCTACACTGCTCAAAACTCGCGTTTGAATCATCAGTGGCAAATCCTTTAAATATAAAAACTTGCTTACAGGCTGTGAGTCAGAACAGCCGGCATTGTAGTCTACTCTCCCAGGATCAGGAAACAGTCCTCCATAAAATGTGCTGCACACATCTGAATATTTGAGTTGAACTGTTCTGGAACAGTGTTGTAAATACAACTTAACCACTGATTTCTAGTTGTGTTCTCTTTTGGAAGGCCAAACAAAGTAGTTTCGCATTCACAACAAAACACACAGCGTCACACACAGCGGGCTTGAGAACGGTGCGGCCGGCGGGCTTACGGCAACCACATGTGACGACCCCGAGGATATCGTCCTCTTTTGGAAGACCAAACAAAGTAGTTTCGCTTTCACAACGAAACACACAGCGTCTTCACGACATGGCGGCAGCAACAATACTACAGCGAGAATAAAAGTTATGCCTTCTTTCTTTGTGTGAACATTTGGGCGGTGTTATACAAATCTTTCCACATTGTGACGTAGACATCTGTGGGCGTGTTAAAACGAGCCGTTTTAGGTAGGTGTGGTTGACTCTTAACTTTTATAAAGAATATCTCTTCGGATATGAGACTTTAGTCTTTGCAACTTTACAGATCTTCTTTATGCACCAAGAGCTTGTAACACTTCAAAGAGAAAGGAAAAATATGACCCCTTTAAGATCTTGATTTCCCACTTAGAACATTGTGTTGGGATTAAGAGTACTGCTTTGGAGTGGTTTAGATCTTATTTGTACTTATTTGACAGAAGTTTTTCTGTCCGCCTTGGAGATTTTGTGTCCTATTCAGGATCCCTCTCGTGTGGAGGTTCCTCAAGGTTCCATTCTTGGGCCTATCCTGTTCTCTTTATATTTGCTTCCATTAGGGTCAATTTGTAGGAAGTATGGCATCTCATTTCATTGTTATGCAGATGATACACAACTTTATTTGCCTTTAAAACGGAAAGATGCAAAGTCCTTAGCACTATTGTTGGACTGTCTTGAAGATATTAAACCTGGTTGGCCTTAATTTATTTAAAGTTCAATGAAGAAAAGACAGAAGTTGTGGTATTTGGATCCGGGGATGCTCGTGATTCTTCTTATCTGGATCTTGGTGCTTTAAAACCATATGTGAAGCCCAATGTAAAAAACCTGGGTGTCATTATGGACAGTGACTTCAAAAACAACTGGATAAACAGATTAATTCAGTAATTAAAGTTAGTTTTTCCAGTTGATTATTCAAAGTCAAGCCTTTTCTGTCTTTTAATGACTCCGAAAGAGTTATACGTATTTTTATTTAGATATTTATTTAGATAGATATTTATTTATCGCCTGGATTACTGTAATGCCCTTTATGTGGGTATTAGCCAGGCCTCCCCAACATGTTTGCAGATGGTACAGAATTCTGCCACTTGTTTGTTAACAGCAACGTGCAAGCAAGGACATAGTATGCCAATACTGGCCTCCTGTTCATTTTAGAATTGATTTTAAGATTTTGGTTTTAGTATTTAAATCACTAAATGGACTAGCACAAAGATATCTTTCTGATTTAATAAAGTTACGTTCTACGTCAAGAGCACATCATGCTGAGCATTTACTTTTGGTTGTTCCTCGAACAAGGCTAAAAACTAGGGGGGACAGTGCTTTTGCATTGACAACCTCCAAAACTTTGGATTAATTTGCCATTTCTACTCTTTGGCATTTAACACAGTATGAGAGCAGGTTTTATGATTGTTTTGGTCTTATGTTTGTTTTTATGTGTTTACTGTTTTTAGTTGAGGATGCTTGTACAGCACTTTGGTAAACACTTGTTTTTTTAAAAGTGCTTTATAAATAAACAATGATTTTTTTTTCAAAATCAACAAACATTGATTTTGAATTGTCATAAGCTCTAATGTCTTGCTTACAATAGCTGTCATTGTTGATGGCGCACAGATAAAGGAAGTTCAGTTTGTTGAAATTCCCTCTGCACTGAGCTCATGTGTTAAGTGAAAATTGGATTTAAAAAATAAATGCTGCATTGAGCCTATAAACTAGAATCAATTTAGCAATATACACTACCATTCAAAAAAAATGGGGTTAGTACAGTTTTTAATATTTTTTGATACTCTTATGCTCACCAAGGCTGCATTTATTTAATCAAAAAGTCTTGCTTACAATAGCTGTCATTGTTGATGGCGCACAGATAAAGGAAGTTCAGTTTGTTGAAATTCCCTCTGCACTGAGCTCATGTGTTAAGTGAAAATTGGATTTAAAAAATAAATGCTGCATTGAGCCTATAAACTAGAATCAATTTAGCAATATACACTACCATTAAAAAAAAATGGGGTTAGTACAGTTTTTAATATTTTTTGATACTCTTATGCTCACCAAGGCTGCATTTATTTAATCAAAAATAAAGTAAAAACAGTAATTTTGTGAAATATTATTACAATTTAAAATAACAGTTTTATATTATAATATATTTTAAAATGTAATTTATTCCTGTGGTGCAAAGCTAAATTTTCAGCATCATTACTCCATTCTTCAGTGTCACATGATCCTTCAGAAATCAATCTAATAAGCTGATTAGCTGCTCAAAAAACGTGTCAATATTATCAAAATTGAAAACAAGTTGTGCTGCTTAAAACCAGTATATTTTAGGATTCTTTGATGAATAGAAAGTTCAAAATAACATCATTAATTTGAAACAGAAATCTTTTGTAAAATGATTGTATTAAAAGAAAAAAAAAATACTGACCCCCCCCCAAAAAAACTTTGATTGGTAGTGTAAATAGTTAAAGGTACACTTTATGTTTATGCCAGTGTAATCTTTTCTCAAATAAACATTTAATCATGCAATTTCAAGCAAAGTTTCTAAATAATTTTTCTTCAGGCAAATCAATTCTGAATGTGTTTGGGTCAGTCCAACCCATAAATCCACAGGAAAATCATATAGAAAGTTCAAAATAACATCATTAATTTGAAACAGAAATCTTTTGTAAAATGATTGTATTAAAAGAAAAAAAAAATACTGACCCCCCCCAAAAAAACTTTGATTGGTAGTGTAAATAGTTAAAGGTACACTTTATGTTTATGCCAGTGTAATCTTTTCTCAAATAAACATTTAATCATGCAATTTCAAGCAAAGTTTCTAAATTCTTTTTCTTCAGGCAAATCAATTCTGAATGTGTTTGGGTCAGTCCAACCCATAAATCCACAGGAAAATCATATATACATATATACAAATAAACATCCTTGTTGTGGTGAGTTTGTGTTACGACACTCACAATCATGTTGACGATGGAGTTTATAGTGGCCATTTGTGAGGAGCGGGACTTGTCTGCAGCGGTGAAGTTCTGTCTGTAGTTTACATCTGTGGCAATGACAGAGAGTCTGGTGTACTGAGAAGACAATTGAAAGAAAAGGGAAACATTATTGCTTGTCCAAATACATTTGCATGAGAAAAAAAAAAGTCTCTTTCTCACCAAAAACATCACATGTTGTGTATTCTTGTGTGGCCAGACTTTTGACCATCGGTTTGTCTATTCCACACTGCTGCTTATTATAGTCGCCCACTTACACAGGAAAAATATGTCTGATTTATTGCTAGGTTGCAGTTTTTATATAGTTTACTTGCTATGTGTTTTAAATAAAACTCAGAAATAATAATGTGTGTGTGTGTGTGTGTGTGTGTGTGTGTGTGTTTGAGTATCATAATCGATGCATCAGACTTCTTTTATGGATCATATGATATGACAGAGGAGAACATGGTGCTCAAACTTGAGAAAGAATGAAAATCAGTTTCATTCAGAGGCCCAAACTGAGTAAAAATATGCAGTTTGGTTCAGTTACTGATTTATTTTTTAATTGTGATAGCTTGTAGTGCAAATCAGTGAGATTTTTATAACAGTATAGCAAACTACTTACATAAAATATCAGTTCTATATCTCCCAATAATACAGTCAAACCAAAAATTTATTCAGACACCTTCAACATTTCGCACATTATCACAGTTTATTCGCTATAGTTTAGAAAAATAAAATATGACAAAAACTTGACAAGAGAGTTAAACTGTGTCAGAACAAATTCATTGTGATAATGTCAGATAACAATTAAGCAAAGCCTGGTCAGGTCAAAGTGTCTAAATAATTTTTGGTCCACTGTATGAAGAATTTTTGGGTATAATATGTCACAGTTTACTTTATTTTGCTGTCCTCACCTACATAAATGAACTTTATTGTCCTGCACCCACTAGTAAAACTAATATCAAAAATTATATCTGGTGTCTGAATAATTTTTGGTTTGACTGTATGTATTAGTAAAATTATATTTAAATGCTTAGGTTTATGATCAAAGCTCTGTAGTTTTTACTGTGGGGGGCAAAACATATAATGCAATGCAATACAATGATGGTCAAGAGATGGATAAATAAATGTTCCTCTAAAGGCTGATGGATCAGATTTGATTTTTTAACATGATTTTTCTAAAAAATAAATAAATAAATAAACCAAATTTGCTTCAGTACAGTATATGTTCATCTTGAAATATACCAAGAATATTGAAGTTGCACAAAAATCAGTAAAGATTTTACCTTTACCTTTCATTTTGGTTTAATTGAACTGCATCTGGTGGTCTAGAGGCTGAGCTTACTAAAGTCACACAGTGTCTACCTAAAAACTCATTGTATGCTTCAATCGTATATGTATACATGTCAGAAAATGTCATGCAATGCACTTCAAATCCAAGCAGCATCTATTATTTGTACGGTACCTCCTGGTCAGGTGAGATGGCCACAGCGAACACTTTGATAGAGTGTTGTCGTGCCTCATTGGCAGCCTCCTGGACCCCACCACATGGCTCCTTGTAGCCAGTCACAGGGTGACCATCCGTGACCACCACAATGTACTTATTCTCATGATAATGGGTGCCCCTGCAGGCAGATGCATGTGGCTATTTACACGCAATGTGACATGCAATGGCCATTTGTAAAATATTACATTTTAAAATGCATATGCAGTTTTAAGTAATGCCAAAAAATGTACATACGTTCGGAGTAGCTCAGAGATACCCTCCTTGATGGCACAGTCAGTGTACGTTCCTTTGCCGATGTATTTGATTTTGTCTATGGCAGCCTTCAGCTCAGAACGCTTTGTTTTCAGGTCAACTAACCCCATCACCAGCTCGGTGTCGTCACTGTAGTGCAGCGCTCCAGAGTTCCAAGTCACATCGCGATTACATTGCTGTGGTCTGGCAACAACACAACAGATATGATCAAATTAAATTTGTAGAAAAGCAATAAAGTAAAAATTTACTCATTATTAAAGGTGCACTAAAAAAACATTTGTTTGCTGGCTGATACAACAGTACTGAGCAAAGTTATTATCATTAACTAACTAAAATAAAACAAACTATTAAAAACTGAATAAAGCTGAAATAAATTATAAATATTAAATGCCTTGATAAGTAACTGAAATGAGTTTAAGATGTAGCAGTAAAATTACAAACTGAAAATAAATTAAAACTAGAACAGAACTAAAACTAAAATAATAATAAATTAAACATAAATAGTAATATTAAATAATAATAATAATAATGACAAAAGCACATGACAAAATTACTAAAAAGTAAAATTAAAATACAAACTGAAAATATAAAGCTAATTAAAAATATTAATTAAAACTATAACAGTATGTAAAAATGCTAAATAACACAGGTACTGTTATCTCTTGACAGTATAGAAGAATCACACAACTAGAAAAAAGCTAATAAAATTTGTTCACATGATCTCAATATGGCAGCCACCAAAGTGAGGCTCCATTCAATGAACCGGCATTTTCTAGGATATACATTGTGAACCTTTTAAAGCATATGCTAGATATTATACAAATGGATAAATACAGAATTTCTTGGTCAAAGTATTTACAATATATCAATCAGAATATGTCATTTAAAGATAGCATACATGTCTTTCAGCTGATCGATGAACATCTTAGTGAAGTTCTTGATCTGGTTGATGAAAAACTCTGGAGGTTTGGCTCTGAGGGCCACACTTTCAGATGTGTCCAACACAAAGAACAAGTCCACAGGACACTCTGCAGGAAGACAGGAGGAGAATCACAAAATTATCTGTTCTTTATGGGTCTAGTCTATCAGGGTTACGTACTTGACTTAAGGTAAAACATCAGCTAAAAAGCTTCAAATGTGAGCTTGCATGAAAACAGTAAACAGTGTTCACTGTTCATAATGCTATATAAATATTAATTTTCAGTGTTTATTAACTTTCATTTATCACTTCCTAATCATGATAATTACGGTTAGTTAGGAAAAATAATGAGCTCCCCCTATTGGTTGCTAAGAAAGTTCTTGCTCCATTATCAACTTGAGAAATTAGCATCACCTGACCGAAACCCTGCAGTCATGTGATATTACAGGTCATTTGAATACAGTATTAAAGTGTTTGAGATACTGTGTACAGGTATGTTCAGATGAATCCAGATGTAAAATATAAAAGAAATTGCACCAATGTCATTAAATGTTTACCTAATCAAAAAAAAAAACTTAAAAAATCAAAATCCATCTCTTTGGAACAGTTAGATATAATTTTTTCAAAATATATATATATATATTATTATTATTTTTATTTTTTTAATTTAAGCACAGAATATATAGGAGGAATCCATAATATCACTTCCTAATCATGATAATTACGGTTAGTTAGGAAAAATAATGAGCTCCCCCTATTGGTTGCTAAGAAAGTTCTTGCTCCATTATCAACTTGAGAAATTAGCATCACCTGACCGAAACCCTGCAGTCATGTGATATTACAGGTCATTTGAATACAGTATTAAAGTGTTTGAGATACTGTGTACAGGTATGTTCAGATGAATCCAGATGTAAAATATAAAAGAAATTGCACCAATGTCATTAAATGTTTACCTAATCAAAAAAAAAACTTCAAAAATCAAAATCCATCTCTTTGGAACAGTTAGATATAATTTTTTCAAAATATATATATATATATATATATATATTATTATTATTATTTTTTTTTTAATTTAAGCACAGAATATATAGGAGGAATCCATAAATGTGGCCCAAACCAAGGCCTTTCTTGCAAAGAAGCACAAGGGTTCTCCAAAATCATAAGTTGCATCTCAACAAATAATTCACTACCCTCATTTCCTTTGCATTAAAGCATAATTTTGTTTATTTGTGATGCATCAAAGCATAACAATATCCTGCATATACTTTGAAACAAGCAGCATCACATCATCATCAGGTATCTCCTGATGGATGGATGGATGTCAATTTGCATTGGATAAACCTTTCTATGATTCCATGACATAACTCGCTACTACAGTACACAATACCAAATACTATGATTCGAAATACCTCTATACAACTTCTTATAACGTGTCTATGTTTATTATAACAAAAGAGCAAACGTTAAACACAATAAAAACCCCATATAGTGCAGAATGTTGAATGTCGATCGTTTATTTGCAGTTGCATTTAATATCTGTTTGATATAACTCATATTCGACTTTTACGCACAGAGACAGCAGTAATACCGAAAATGCAAAACATATTTTTCCATTACAAATAAGACAGTCAATGCAACATGAACGGAAAAATATTCATAAGTACCTCTGAAAGAGGGTATTTGGGCATCCTGAGCGAAGATCCCTGCCCAAAGTGCGCACAGCGCGGTCAATATATATCCATTCAGCGCCATAGATCCTGATGTTAACGCACGTTAACCGTGCAAACTGATGTTGAGGGACACACAGAACAGAAGGAGTGATATGATTGCAAATGAAATATGAAAACAGGTTCGGGTGAGATGAAGTAGCGGACAGTGGCACGGTGGTGCGTCCGCTCAGAGCGCAAAGCAAATGAAACGCCTTACAGCAGGAGGGGGGAGGAGGAGGAGCTCGGTTCACTCATATCTACTTCAGGGCTTCATCTGTGCCGCTCTACACCGATGTTAGACCCTGAAACACTTCAAAATATGAGTTATATTCATAATCAAGAAGCACTTTGTGAACATTATTATGTTTAATGTGCCTAATGCAAACCATTTCTGATGTTTGAAGACGCTTTTCTGCACAATGATTATACCACCATTATGCAAAAGAAAAGTAAGAAAATAACTAAAAAGATACATTGCATTCTTAATAATGGCCCATTTTACTTTAATATATTAATTTTATGTTTTAATATATAATTGTATTTTTTTACTTCCATTAATACATTTGACAAACATTTCAAACTGTAATTCAGTCCAGTAGTTTGAAATATCATGAAACTTGAATGAATGCCTTCATATATATTCATATTTGAATGTATATGAAATATTGATATTATTGCTTATGAACGCAAATTCCCAAAATACAACTTTTTTTCTTCTATATAATATATTCTAAAAAAGAATAAATATATTATAATTTATATAGGCTATATATAATTATTGCTACTATTATAAGATCATAATAAATTCGATTTGGGAGAATATATACTTTCGAGAAGATTTTTGTTTGTTTGTTTTTTTCAATGATACTGACTGTAATACCAGGTTTTATTCCATAAATTAAGTTGTTGTTTTTTTTTTGTAGAAAGTTTGGTTACCTTTGAAACTAAATGGGTAACATTTTGGTGTGTGTGCATGTGAGATGAAGCTCTGCGGTTTTTGGATGGGCAGAAGCAGAAAGATGCTCTGTGTTCTGGAGAGAATGAGCAGAAAGAGTCGTGTTGTCAGGAGAGGTGAGAAGTGTGATGTAGCCTTACCACTCAAAGATACACAGCTTTCAAAAGCTGAGAGGTGAATAGTTTGAGAGAGAGAGAGAGAGAGAGAGAGAGAGAGAGAGAGAGAGAGAGGGAACAACGAATAATCGAGACATCTGAGAATGTCTTTTCTCTTCCAGAGGGGGAGGGTAAAGGTCTTTCCACATCTGCATCTCGTCTACATGTAGACCAACTGATGAGGCCAGAGAGAAAGAATAAAGAGGAACATATGAACGGCAAAAATAACGCCACTCCCTCGTGCGCGTTTGTTTTTGAAAGAGAAACAGCGCCACCCATGTGCGGATTTTAATATATCACACTGTATTAATTATTTTAGAAAAAACATGAGACCAAGCTTTGCTCAATTTTGGCTCACTGAGATCTTATCATGCTTTTTCATACTTCTCTGTAGTTGAATGTTTGCATTCCCTTTCTTCTACAAAAATGAAGGTCAGTTGTGTGGCTCATTGTAATATGTGTGTGTGTGTGTGTGTGTGTGTGTGTGTGTGTGTGTTATAATGTATTAATGTATTGTATTATTATAATGTGTTAAATGTCAATCACAATTTCAAATTAGAAAAAGCAACAAGAATGATTCGCTTCAAATGTCTTCTGCCAATTTGAGGGCTAAAAATGAAACGAACAAGGCTGGTTACACATGTCTTACTTAAACAATTAAAAAACATATTGGTCGACCACTAATCTGAATATTGCATGGGACGGGTTCCACCATAATGGTTACAGGCCTAATGCCTCTGGTTTGAGATCTTTATCATGAAGCTGCTGTAAATCAACACACCAGATGTTGTCATTGATTGAGATAAATGATGATCTATACCTTTGTGTTCATACACTTTTCTAGAACGGTGACAGGATCACAGTGGAACAGTATTTCACTTGGCCCGGAACAGTGAATATCTGGAGTTCATAATTCATCATTCATAAGAATTATGCTTTGCGTCTGGTTTAATGTCTCCCATTAACACTACAGTAAATTTAAGATGACACTCTGGAACACTATAATTGCAACATCGTGAGTGAAGAACGACATCAACATTCATTCGCGTACACAACAACAGACTCGCATACACGCATGTGAAAGGATGTGGAAACATCTAACTGCTTTGAGAGAGTCCAAGCAAGAGCAGCTATGTTTTAAAACTGGGAAAGAGTGACAGTAACGTGAAGACACTACAATCATTGTACATCTAGCAGTGTTGCATAAAATAGAGGAGGTAAAAAGGCAGTATGGTTCACCAATAGAGGAATATTGTTTTCCTCTCACTGTCCGTATTGAACACTGCATGAGCTGGAGCATCACAGAGTCACACAGGGTGGTCCCTAGGTAAACCTAGTCATGGTTCTTTACATAAAAAAAGTACTGTGGTGGTACTATGGTACTATAAGTTACTATGTGCAAAAAATGAGGTAATATCGTGCTTCAAAAAGTGAGGGTTAAAGTGTTAAATGGGATGTTTACTATATATTTTGGATCAAAATAGTTGCCTGGTGGCAACTGATGGGAAATGGGTGTTTTCTCCCACTCAAGAAAGGATTCATCACCAAATGAATACCCTGGCCTTCCTTACCAGATCTGGATCCAAATAGAAAAGAAAGCCTGTGAGATTTCCATGGGATGAGATCGTAAGCTCTTGAGAATTGCCCCAAGCACATTTGAATACAGATTCCAGTTTTATTAGAATTATGAAAACTTTTATAGCATGTGCATCAAACCGAATGATGAAGGAGTTACGTTATACAATAAAATCCAAAGTAATCTATGTGGATAAGATCATTACTTATATTGCACAAGAATAATTCTGCCCCATTTCCTCTAGTGATTTAAGACTTTATGATAGTGAACAGATGTTGTCACACGGTTTTGCAGATGTTAGATCACCTACACATGTTGTAGGAATATGGATAGTTTAAATCAGGTGATATGTGGCTGTGTTAATGAGAAAACAAACTGATCCCAGACTGCACAGATGCACGTTAGTTTCATCTCCTGTTTTATGCTTCAGCAAAACCATGATGAAACCTTACTCGGCTTTTCCAAATCATGTGATCATGTGACAGGCCGAAGCAGGCACATTATTACAGCGCTGTAAAGTCTGGAAAACACATTAGTACAAAAACACCTGTTAGGAGAGAAGAAGCAAAGCCTACAGTCATTACAGAGAGAACAATTTAAAATGAACTGCAATTACTATTACTAATACATAAGGATAAACTCTAAACCCTGACTCTTCCTTTTGTTTGTGCTGTGGATGACAGCTCAAATCTTGATGAGGAGGTGTGATATTACTAATCAATCATACTTGGTCTGGTGAACAATAAAATGGGTGGAGAAACAGACTTACTTTATAGAAGGGACTGGAGCAATTTCTAGAGATCAGAATATTGTGGTGACTTGAAGGACGAGTCTTCATTCCTTTGGACAGGAAGCAAAGCCCTAGCAACCACCCAGAACATCCTAGCAACCACAGAACAAGTTAAAAACACTTGTATAGCAAAACGTATAGCAAAACCGTAGCATCATGATGGCAGCTGTATAGGAGAGAAAAAAACCCACTTACAATTTCTTTTGAAAATGTAAAAATCCAGTGAAAAATATTCAGATATACTATTTACACTATACCATTCAAAAGTTTGGGGTCGGAAAGATTTAATGTTTTTGAAAGAAACCAAGGCTGCATACTGTACAATGAACTGTAGTTTTTTAGTTTCATATATTTTAAAATGCAATTTATTCCTGCATGGAAAAGCTGCATTTTTAGAAGTCATTACTGTGTCACATGATCCTTCAGAAATCATTCTAATATGCTGATTTGATGCAAGAAACATTTCTTACTATTATCAATATTGAAAACTTTATATTGATATTTTTTCTCCTAAGATTCTTTAATGAATAGAACGTTTGACAATTTGAAATATTTTTTTGGTAACATTATAAATGTCTTTACTGTCCCTTTTTATCAATTTAATGCATCGAATGAATTGAAGAAATAATTTCTTAATAAATAAATAATGTTGCTTACCCTGAACCTTTGAACAAGTAGTGTATTATATATAAACTATTAATTTTTTTGCACAATGTCTATTATGAAAAGCACTACATAAATGAATTTGACTTGCCTATCTAAAGATTTATCTGTATATTCAAAAATAATGCACATATTTTTTTTATTTCTAGTTATTATCCTGTCATATGCGTAAACATTGAAAAAAACAATTAAAATAGGCCTACATAAAGTGTGAGGCAATACCGTACTGTACATCAAAATAGTGGAATGCACACATTCAATGCTTGCTGAATTTCAGTAGAACAATATCAGAATTCACTTCATTTGTACAATCTGTTCAATTCAATATGTTTATTAATTGTTGAAATTAATCTTATCATTTCTTTTGTGTCCTTGTGTGAGTTTTAGTGAGTTGGGGGGAAATAAACCATAAGCATTGTGAACGGGATCTTGGATAGCAGCTGTTTTTCAGTGCCCAGTCTTTGAGTGTTCACTCAGCATGGTAAGGTATGATGCTTTCACAAGTGTGTCATGGAAAAATGAACACTGCTTAGTTGAAGCTGCACTAAATTAAATCACATCCTGAAGATGTAATGACACTGAAAGAGAGACAGTATGAGAGTAAAATACTTTAGAAAACAGCATTCTGACCACAAGAGCTTTAAATGCCTCCCAGAAGATCAATTTGGAGCAGTCATCAAGGCTTCGCGCTTAAGCTGATTCAACACAGACCTGAGCTGCACTCAACGGCTGCGAGCGCAGTGACACTTCCATTAAAGGGGTCATATGATGTTGCTAAAAAGAAAATTATTTGGTGTAATGAAATGACTTTATGCGGTTTAAGGTTAAAAAACACATTATTTTCCACATACTGTACATTATAGTTTCTCCTCTATTCCCTGTCTTTCTGAAACTCGTCAATTTTTACAAAGCTCATCGGTCTGAAAAGAGAGGTGTGCTGTGATTGGCCGAATACCTCAAGCGTGTGATGGAAATGTTACGCCCCTACCATACTGTGATGCCCTGTCCCGGCCGGAGCGACGAGACAAAAACATTAAAACCAGGGTGCGAACTAAGGGGGAGCTAGGG